TTGCATAAACATTCACAACTGCTCTTGTGCGTTAAATAGAATATAATCTTAATCCCCATGTTATGCAAATATAAGCCCAAATGAAACCTTAATTACTGATAAGTTATTACCTTCAATAACTGATATTGGCGTTCTCAAAAGCCCCAAGTGTTTGTGATCTGTTAAGTTAGTGGAAGAGACTAGGTGTATCCATCATGTGTTAAAGCTAAACAGTTTAAGAGCTCACGACTGCCAGATCCAGTATCTATAAAACACCCAAGGTCCTCTAGAATGCAGACCCTGAGGCAAGAACTAAGTCACTGGTATCTTCTTTGAGGTACATATACAGAGTGGTGAGAAGATCTTAAGCAAGGTACAAAGCCCTGAAATACAACGTGTTGCCCAGTTTTAGTAAGCCAAGGCATGGCAGTCTTAGGACTTTCTCTGGAAATTATGCAAGTAGTCCACAGCAGGACAGGAAGGGCATGTTTGCTGGGCTCCTTCTGTCCTCCCCAGGGGAGTGGATTTTCCACCCTTCTGGGTCATCACCTGACCCTCTGGCAGTGGCTCAGGCAGCCAGAACCCACTGCCTACTGTGTGCCTTTCCCTTCCCTTGACAGTGGAGTCACACTATAAAAAGAGGACCTGGTGTGGAACTAGAGGTACCATGTTGGCCCAGAGTCGAGCGCCCTAACTGGCTTGGGAATCTTTGGTTTGGTTTTAGTTTAAGACAGGGTTTCTCTGTGTAGCTCTGGCTATCCTGGAACATGCTCTGTAGACCAGGCTGGCCTTGAGTTCAGAGATCTGTCTCGTCACAAAGGGGAGCTGTCAACAGGATGGGTTCAGGACTCTGACATGGTGGCACAGAACCTGGAGTAGCATGATATATAAATTAAATCACGACACAAGGTACAGTGTGTAAAAAAGAGAGTATTCATTGGGGATAGGGCTGGGGGAAAAGACTATTGATTCCTCCAGTTGAGCATGAATGGCCGGCTCAGAGACCACAGGACAAATCACAGCCAGAGTGTATGGTCTAGTATAACCACAAAATGACTAGCATTCAGACAGAGGGCGCACAGTGCACACTGAAGGACTTGAAAAGTCAGCTTGCAGCCAGATACAGAAAGCCTTGGCAAGGAGAGGAACATGGAACCCAAGGCCACAAGCCATGTGACACTTCCAAGAGGAAAGGAACACACGTGAACTGTTTTCAGGACAAAATTCTGGGAAGCTGTTAGTTTAACTGGAAAGAATGTTTAATTAGGATCTCACATGGGACCCCTCATAATGTGAGTGTATTAAAGACATAATAGTTAAGAGAAAAATGCAGCACCCCCCCACTCCCCACCCTCGACCCCGGCAAAAAGAGCTAACTCTTAGAAATTAAAATTTAGAGCTGGGCATGGGAGCCTGTACCTGTAGTCCCACCTGCTCAGGAGAATTAGGGCAGGAGGACTGCTTAAGCCTTGGAAGTTCAAGGCCAGGCCTAGCAACATACTGAGACCCTGTGTCTGTTTTTTTTTTTAAGCATATAGATAATACATTTATATATCAGAAAATTTTCTTTTATCTTTTATTGTTTATATAAATCATATAGATATATAGGTCAGAAGGGGACTGGAGGTATAACTCAATAATAGAATACATGTCTAGCATGCACAAGACCCTGGGTTCAATCCCAGCACCTCCAGCCCAATATATCAGAAAAAAAATACCAGAAAAAGAAATTAATGTGAAAAGGTTAAATAAAAATATAAATATGTAATTAAATCAGCAGTCTCAGGAAAGAAATCCAACATCCAACTATAAGTTGCCCTAGAGTTAGGGGTTAATGCTAATATAGTAGCATTAAATAAGATGGGTCAGTGGTTAAGAGCAATGGCTGCTGTTCCAGGACCCGGGTTCAAATCCCAGCACCTACATGGCAGCTCACTACTGTCTGTAATTCTAGTTCCAGAGGATCTGACACCCTCACACATACACATAGGCAGAACACTAATGTGCATAAATAAACCTTAAAAATATTTTCTTGCTCTGGGCGGTGGTGGCGCACGCCTTTAATCCCAGCACTTGGGAGGCAGAGGCAGGTGGATCTCTGTGAGTTCGAGGCCAGCCTGGTCTCGAAAGTGAGTTCCAGGAAAGGCACCAAGCTACACAGAGAAATCCTGTCTTGAAAAACAAAAAATATTTTTCTTGCAATTTACCACATTGAAAGGGCTCTCTTGGTGTATATCATTGTCAATAGAAAGGACATTATGACATTTGAGATAAAGAAGACCCTAAGACTTAAGAGAAAAATTACAGGGCACAGACAAAGGCTCTAGATTAGAAAGATATGAGATTTCAGCAGCCAGCACTGAAGTTCCTGAACAGCAGAACAGATGCACTGGAAGAGCCCACCTGCATCTGTAGCTACAGGAGCAGAGGAAGAATCAAACAGATGCATTCTGAAATCACTTACATCCCACCCAGCCCTGAGAAGCCAGTGAAAGACCTAACTGATCAAATGGGAAATTACAGTCATGAACGTCATATCCTGGGAAACAGGAGACTTAAAGAGAGTTCTAAGGAATGACAAGAGGGAAGAGAACCCAGGTCAGGAGCTATGTCCCAGGTGTGATGAACTGGCAGAGTGCTTCCTTTGGACTCAGCTCTGCTTCCTCAAATTCCTATGTGAAAGCTCCAAGGCCCAGCATCTCAAATACCACTGCATTTGGAGACCAAGTCTTTAAAGAGGCAAATACATAAAAATAAGGTCTCTAAGGTGAGCCCTGATCTAATGACTGACATCCTTGAGAAGAGTGAGCTAGAGAGCGTCTCAGCCTCAAGGCATCTGAGCCTGTCTCAGCACATCATAAAAGAGAGAGAGGGAGGGATTGAGTGGCAAGAGAGATGTAGTAGGACACAGAAGAGCACATGAAGACAGTGAGGTACCAGCCATCTACAAAAACCAATTTTTGTCAACTCCATCTTTCCCAGCATCCAGAACTACGAGAAATAGAAAATGCCTGTACATTGCATCGCCCATGTGATACTCCACCATGCAGCCCTACCAACCAAACTTGGCACCTAACATGAACATTTTAAGAAGCTTCAGGAAAGGAGTCAATCCAAAGGGCACATCATTCACACCGAGACTGTTTATAATGCTATCAGGTATGGAGGATGAGTTTGACGTATCAACGGAAAATGGCCAAATGAATGAGTCAAAAATGTGAAGGAAAGGGGAAGACGTAAAAGAACCCACAACCATGAACACAATAGCTCATGATGACTAACATTTACCTAGTAACAGGAATGTCATCAAAAGCTGGGAAACAGCTATAGGGTGAGTAGGCTGAGAGCTAAATCCTCATGTGCCATGGGAAGAATTCATGAATACATATCACAAATTGGAAAAATCAGGAAGTGGTGATCTCTAAGAGTATTACTTAAATAGAGGAAAATACATAGAATAAGGGAAAAATACTCAAGCTGGCTACCTCTGTGACTTAACAACTGAATAGCATAGAAGATGCCTTTTACATCGTAATCTCAGGAAAGCTACCTGAGAAAGTACTCATGTGTGCCCTTAAAATAACAATATAACTTAAAAATACTACATAGACACTAGAAAATTAAAAAGCTGCTGCTTCTTTCCACTAGGCCTTTGGATAGTGGGACATGGACAGAAGCCAGACCAGTATGTGTAAGAATACAAGCTGTGAGTTATCCAATGGCAAGCGAGGCTTTTAACAAGGTGTCGGTAATCCAAAGAGAGGAGCAGGACAGGGGGCAGAAACGGTTCCTGAGGGGGCAGAGGCCATGCAGCGGCCTCTGCTGGCAGTGTCCTCCACAGAAGCTCCTTGCCAAGGAGTCCTTTACACCTTCAAGACTGGATGCACCTTTCTACCTGCCCCAGCTTTCCCTCAATTGTCTGTTCCTGCTTCTTACAATTCGGGGGAAGAATTCTGCAAGGAGAGCCTTGTAGCAAGAAGCACTTTGGCTCTGTTAAATGTGGCAAGTATATTAAGAGTTATCACATGAGCACAGAGCGACTTGACCAAGCAGATTAGCCCCAGGCCAGACTAGAACTGCTGGGACTTCCTCGGGGTCAGACCCACATGTTCACACACACACAGAGAAAGTCACTACTACCATGTAGAGCATGTTAGTTGGTCAGTTTTACAAATCCTCACAATCAGAGGCTTTAAAGGTAGAAGTCAAATTGCCCCAGGCATTCACCAAACACTTGCTGTGGACTATGATGAGCAACTTCCTGGGTTCTACAGGCGAAGTAATTAGCACCTCTAAGTAACCTGAAGTGTGTTCCAGAGGAAGAGCACCATTCCAGTGTGGGAGGCCACTGGACAGATCCTGAAGAGAGGGCCTCAGGGTCAGCACCCTCAGTTGTCCCAGATATCCAAGGATGGATGGTCATTCCTAGTCCGTTCAACCTTTAATATCTACAGAGGTTTTCAAGCCTTCTGGACAGTTCTAGCCTGTCTGAGAAATTGTTATTTAGCCAGTACTCTGGTTATCGGTTGGTTTCTTTTTGTGCAACTTAACAATCAATCAGTCCCTTAAAATGTACACTTCTCTGGGTCAGATGGCTAACCTGGCAGTGAGTAAGAAGCTGGTTAAATTCCAACACTGACCACCAAGGAAAAAACACTGACCAGGGTCCCACAAGTAAAGAGAGTACGTGCCAAAGAAATTGTCTACTGGCTAGACTTTTAGTAGAAAATTTCAACAGGGAAAAAAGATACCCTTGAAGACTGTGTTAGTAAAAGAACATGGTAAAACACTATGAATCTTTAGACCTACACATAAATATAAGCATGGGCAGAGGAAATACACAGGGAAAATAAAAGGCAATTAAAAAATTTGCAAGTCCATAATAGTTTATCCATTCAGAAATCTTTGAGAAGAGCTGAAGCCTGTGACGAGAAGTATTCTGGACAGCTATAATCACTGTGCGTCCATCACCAATAACTTAATATACATAAAGGAATAATAAAAGATTTAAAAAAGTTAAAAAATGTTTAAAAAATTTGTTTAATTCTTTTGACCTGATTTTATTAAAATCCATCCAGCTGTCTTCTGTCCAGCTCTGATCTCAGGTGGCCCTAGAACAGCCCAGCCAGGTGGGTGGGCTTCACTGGGTCCATCCCCAGTAGGCTGGGTAGAAAGGTCTCTGGTAACTAGCAGAAGTCCACTTCTTATTCTGGGTTGCTTGACTGCTGTTTGGCTTCACGTTCCAGAAGAATCTTCTTTGTGAATAGTCCTCTCCAGGCGGACCAGGAGGAGGGATAAGGCCTCTCTGGTAAACACTCTGGTTTTGTGAAAATTTTCTTAAACAAGAAGTAATAAATCATTATCAAGATTAATAAAATAAGAGATATTCTGATTTTACTCTTTCCTACCTGGGTGACCTGGGCAGATAATCACTTATCTTTCTCTTCATTTTTTATAGAATGGAGCTAGGAGTGGGGAGATGGCCCAGTGAGTAAAGCTCTTGCTGCACAAGTGTGAGGACTTGGGGCTGGATGCCCAGAACCCATAGAAAGCTGAGACACAGTAGCATGTGTGTGCAATCTCTATGACCAGATGGGGGGCGGACAGGAGGATCCCTGGAAGTTGAGGAGAGCTGGCCTAGCATGTGCAGTGGAACTAAGGAGGGTCTATCTCAGACAAGGTGGGAATGTGAAGGGGATAGTGGAGGTTACCTTCACTCACTCACTCTCTCTCTCCCTCCCTCCCTCCTTCCTCTCTCCTACTTAGTCAAATTTGATCAAATGTTTCTTTGGTCTCTATTCGTTTTCATCCTTCTGACTGTTGTTACAGGAAGTTGCAAGCAGCCATGTGGGTGCTGGGAATCAAACCTGAGTCTTCTGCAAGAGCAGCCAGTATGCTTAACTGCTGAGCCATTTCTCCAGCTCCTGCTACTATTTTTTACTATTATAAACAAACTTTAATTTCAGTGGCTTTATAATATGTCACAGTATGGTTATGGTTACTTAGCTGTATCTCCACTCTTAGAATCACAGGTTACTACCAGTTTTCCTACCATCATTATTTGGGGGAATATAGACTACTGTATGCAGAGCACCTAGGTCTGTATGGGACAGCACGATTTGAGAAGTAGAGTCTCAGCATGGAACTGACCAGGTATGAGCATCTTTGTGGCACTAAAACTGATTCAAAAGGGTTACTCCCACTCTCAGTGTCAACAGCAGCATCTTTTTGAAAGTGTAACAAAGTACCAACTTGCTTTAACAGATGTAGCAGGGAACAACCATAGTTATTATGTATTTTAAAATCTCCACCTCAAAGAGCGGAAATTAGAGATGTAGTCTCACCCAAGATTACACAGTGTAAATGGCAGAGTAAAGAGACAAGTTCAAATACAGCCCGACAGTCATGACCCTCAAGTGCTCATAAAAATCACAACTAAATTAACAGCTACAAGTATCTTCTAAGCTATACCAGTGATTTTAGGTAGCATCTTGACTAGCGTCAAGAAGCTACAGATCTAGTGAGGCATTATTTTTCTATCGGTCCTCAAGAGTGTTTCTGAGAAAGACTGACGCAGGAAGAGCAGACTGAGTAAGGAGGATCTGCCTTCTCTGTGGGCAGGCACCAGCCCCCTGGCTGGGATTACAGTACAATCACAAAGGCCGAGGGAGGAAAGGCAAATTTACCCTCTCCTCCCTCCCGCCCCTCCCCCAAGGCTCCTCAGGACTACTTAGGACTCCTACAGAGAATTACCAAGTTCCCTGTAGGGACTTCACAGCCTCCAGTCCCACATGCCAATCACCCCGGTGAAGGCCCCCTCTCATCTACCTGCCTACTCTCCCTCCCTTCTTCCTTCTCTTCCTCTCTCCTTTCTTCTCTTTCATTTCTCTGGAGAATCCTACTAGACTATTTTAACTGAATTGAGACTTTTTCATTTCCCATTTCCCAAGTGAGATACGATGTGCTTCCCTGGTCTGAAGTAGTCCCCATCTCAGTTCTAAGGAAGGGAAGCCCAGGTACCTGAATGACTGCTGTGAGGTCTGGGTATGAAAATGCCGGGGAGGCGGTGGACGGCCACCAGGCCAGTTGTTCCGAGGTCCTTGGTTCACAGGCTTGTTAGTGCTGTGGACGTGTTCCATAAGATGTGCTGAGTCTTCAAGACCACGTGACCTAGATGTGCTGCTAACATTCCGGTTCCTAAAAGAGAAGTGTCCCCCAGTGTCACCAGGTCCCAGGTCCAGGTCCAGTGACTATGTACTTTGGTGTGTGAACACAGGATCTCCACTCCCCCACCCTATTTGTTTAGGGTTTGCTCAGCAAGTGAGCAAGATGCCAGGGTAATGTGAATCATACCTAAGAGGTTTCCCTAACCACAAATCTCCCTTAGCAAAATGGAAGACGCCTTACTTTCTGACCCGGCGGGTCTGCAGGTTTTCAATGTAGTTCTGCCGTTCGATGCAGTGCCCCCGGCACCTGTTGAACACTGAGGAGTGGATGCGGACAGCTGTTAGGAGAGCTGCACAAAGAGAACTCTTACCCAGAAGGCAGACCGCAGCTCATAGTCACTGGCTAACCATGAGGTGGTTACACCTCACATATCGCTTGCAGGTCTGTCCCTTCACAGCTTTCGGCAAAAGATGACCTTATGGTACTAGTATTTTTCTTTCTTTCTTTTGGTCCTGGAGATCAAACTCAGGGTTGCACACAGGCTGAGCAAGCGCTCTCCCATGGAGCCACATCCCCAGCCCCAAGACGTAGCTTTCCTTCCTTATCTCTCTTCACTTCCTTTTTGGCATCTTCTATTGGATCATATGAATTTTTTTTTTCCAAAAATTGAAAAGTGGCTCTACACTTCCACCTTTAGCTTTTATAGGAAGGGAAAAACAGTGACCCGCCCCCCCATACTTACATTCAATTGCATCATCTGGCCTCATGCCTTCTACATCAATCAAATATCTAACAAAACAACATAATTTGGGTCACTTAAATATACAAAAAGAAAAACAAAAATCAAAACAGGTCCCATTTCACTTACACGTGGAGAGATATAAATCCTAAGAAAATACTACATATCTAATCCAACAGTTACAGAATAACATGCCATGACCATAGAGAACGACTATCCCAAGATTGACCAACTTTAGAAATCTATTAATAAAGGACTTACATTAATATAATAATAATATAACTAATAAAATGACCAAACTGGCAAATATTAAAAGGCAGATTCTGCAGTCATTTTCTTCAAAATGCTTTGTGAACTAGAAAACAGGAGGCTTCCTAATATTACTGTGTATTCATTAGGAACCAATGACACATAAAGCAACTGGGAAAAATAGAAACACAGCTAAAAATACCGGGTAATCAACCGTACAGGTCAGAAACAGGGGCTACCATCACCGTCACCCACTTTTCCCACACCTCCAATCTACCACCAGGGTCCTGACAGTGATGACCACAGCCTTCCACCAGAATGCCCTCACCATCCTGGTCTAAGTGACCATTACCCTTCAATTCATACAAAAACCTAATGGCTCCTTGCCTCTACCTCTCTAGAGCATTCTTTACTCAGCAAAAACAGATGGTTTCAACAAACCCAAAAAAGTTCAACAAGAAAAACCAAACAGACCCAAACACGGCTTTGCATGGCCTAACTGCTCCTGCCTGGCCCCGCAGCTCACTTCTACAGCACACTTACGGCACTGCCTGCCCTGCAGCCAAGTATATGCCATCCTACTCTAGGGCCCGGCTGAGCCTTATGTCCAGTTTCTTCAGTGTCCCAACTCAGCTAGTACTAGTTCAACATTCAGAGTCTCTCAAACTGTCCACGGGGATGTACTGTCTTCTTGATGAGATAGGTCAGAGCCTCCCCGTCACGGTACCATGTTCCTGTCCCCCTCAGCATTTGACAGTGAGCGCTCTATATTCTTCTTCTTCTTCTTCTTTTTTTTTTTTTTACTATTATTATTATAGTCTTATTTCTTCAGAGGCAAGTTAAATCTCTTTACCAGCACCCACACTGCTCACACAAACCAGACCTCAGGATTTTCTGAACGGACAAGCAGCACAGCACAGCACAGCAATTCCTTAAGGGCCATCAGACTGCATCCTAATTCAGCATCTGCATGTCAAGTGAGGTTATTGCTGAGTCAGTGGCATGTGGATCCAAAGATGCTCATACCACTCTAGTAATTTTATCAGACCCCAAACTTCTGACTTGCATGTTCATCAGTATGAAAAAACAAACAAACAAACAAAAAAAAACCAAAGCCCCAACAAAAAACAGTATAACCTTTAAAACATAAGGTTTCCAAATACTTCCATAGGAAGATACCTACCACCTATTAGATTGTAAATCTGCACGTCTACTATACTTGAAGCCACACAGATGTACTTCTATCTGCATCTGTGAAGCCTACAATGGTATTGCTGGTGGCAGTCTCTAGGTGGAGACAACACTGCTCTATAATTCACCCATTTCTATGTAAGCGTACATTACCACTGTAACCAGACAAACACACCAAACACTGTTTGGCTTTTGGGTTGGCAACTCACCTGCAAATGAGATAGCCAGTCCTGTTTAAGCCATGGGTGCAATGGACACCAATAAGTTTGTCTATAAAACAGGAAATGCAGAATTGAGTAAAGGAAACAAGATCCACCAAAAATAAGTTAAAGACAATTTTCTGCAGACTAACACAATTAGTGAAATATTACTGCTATGTTGAAAAGTGGCTTTAGAAACATGTTATCAAGAATCACCTTCCCAAAGTTCACTGTTGCGGAAACTTTGCAAGTACTGCTTCGATACAATGATACAAACTGTAGAGTTAAAGCTGCAGCAGACAAAGCCATTTGTTTTCCCACGGAGAGGAAACCAGGATGTGTCTGTGTGTGTACATGCAACCCTGAAGTTTGAAACTGGCTTATGGAAGCCAGGCAAGTGCTCAGCAATTAAGCTGCAGACCTCAGGCCACCTTCCCTTTCGATAATAGTAACAACCACAAGTGTACTCAGAATGGAAAACCAGCAGAAACACCTCAAGTATGTGTGGCAAAGAGGAGAGTCTACTGGCCTATTTGTGCTGTTCTCCCAGGAGACTGCTGCACTCCTGACCTTTGACTCTGGTTGTCTCTTTAAGTAACTAGCAGACCCTGATAGTCTTAATCTTCTCACCCCTTAACCACAGGAAAAGGGAAACACTTCCATCATATTACACATTTCTCACTCAAGTTGTTTCTGTGTGGCCAACAAGAGGGAAAACACTTTATTATAACAGCTGCCATTTTCAGAGACAACAGACCTACTATCAGAATATTAACAATATCAAAAGTTTGAAACTGCTCTGGAGAGATGGCTCAGTCCTTGAGAGCACATCTGCCCTTGAAGAGGGCCCAAAGTTGGTTTTCCAGCACCCATGTCGGATGGCTCACAACTGCCCATAACTCAGATGGAGGGGATCTGAAGCCTCTGGACTCTGAGTACCTGCATTTATATGCATGTAGCTACAGGCACACCCACATAATTAAAATAAAAAAGATTTTAAGAGTCTCTAAACCTATTCAAAATGCACAACAGAGTTCAGACAGAAAAGAAAAAGAAACCACAAGGACTCACCATTGTCTTTATTTTTCTTTAAAAACTCTTTAACTGCACACTTGAACTTAAAAATAGTGTCATTACTGGGTACCTGATGGCCAACTGTAAGAATTTTTATGTAAGAAATAGTTTCTGGCAAATCCTACAAAGCAAAACAAAGAAAATGTACATTATTTCATTTGTAGGCATATAATAAAATGTTTGAGGAGCATGAAAATAAACTGATAATAATGAGCTTACTATGACAGCAATTCTGACTAAAGAGTCACTTCTTACAAAGCTGTTTCAACCAGGAAATAGCACTTGATTTTCATTAAAACTGTAGGACAGTCACTAGGTATACAAAACACACCAAAGTCCACATGAATGAGGGTATATATGGTGTGACTAAAAAATACGAGGACTGTTCTAATTATTTCACCTTTCTGTGCCTTACAAAGTAGTAATGAGCTGGGCAAAAGGAGCTGTGGACACGAGAAAGAAAAGGGCAGGTGAGGGGCTGGAGAGATGGCTCAGTGCTCAAGAGTGCCTGCTGCTCTTCCAGGACGTGCTTCATTCAGTTCTCAGCACCCACGCCTGATGGCTCACAACAGCCTGTAACTCCTGCTCCAGAGGATCCGGCGCCCTCTTCTCGCCAGGTACCTGCACACAAGTAGCAGACACAGACAAGCAGACATACATACATACATACATACATACATACAGACACACACACAGACACATAGACACACACACACACACACACACATCTTAGGGAAAAAAGAGAAGTTAGGTGAAAAATACGTAACTCTGGGTTTAAGTGGAAAGCGCTACCATGATTTTTACAGAGTTCCTAGCTCTGTCCACAAGAAAAGCTTCAAAACAATGTCATTCTATTAGCAATGAATATACCTGACACTCACATATCTGAAAGGAAACAAAGTTTTCTGCAAAGGCTGAGTCATGTGGGGCAGGAAAGAGTTAAGATGAGCCCAGAATTCTTTCATGCAGACAAAGTGATCAGAGATGATCTGGGCATGTCAAAAGATTAGGACTAAGAAATGGTTTAATCTACCTGAGAAGCTTTGTCAGCTGAGAGCTACCTGGAAAGGGAGAATCAGTTTTCTTCTTCAGGAGTGCGGCCCTAGGTAATTGGCCATTTTCCAGAAGATGGCTTCACACTCACGTGCACTTGGGCAGCACTAATTTTGAATTCAGTGAGTTGCTTTTAAAAATGTGGTGTCAGGGTAGGGTAAAGAAATGGCTGAGGGACAGAGCTGAAGAGCACTTGCTGCTCTTGCCAAGGACCTGGGTTCAGTTCCCAGCATCCACATCAGGCAGCTTACAGCTGTAATCCAGCTGCAGGGGCTCTAATTCCTTCTACCACCCACAGGCACCTTCAAGCATGAGTTGAACAAACAAAAAAATGGGCAATACACATAAAAAGGAGAGGACATTAAAATTGGGAGTGCAAACCAGGAGCAATCGGCTGTGGTATTGGGGTCGTTGTGATCAAAATACAAATTATACATGCATGAAATTCTCAAGAATATCTTTCAAAAAAGGTTTTAGGAGCCAAACTGAGAAGCTCCAACTATCTGAAGAGAGGCCCTCCAACTGTGCTCCAATTGGAAAAAACAACTGCAGGGGAGTTTGTAATAAGAGAAAAGCTTAAATGAATAAATTCTGACTCGTCACTATTGGCAGGTATTAGGGACCTAAGGTATTACTTTAAAGGTGTTACCTAGAGGAAAGAATCCTGTTGACATCACTGAGTAAATAAACAAGCAGAAACTTCATTAAATGAAACATGAATGACAAGATTCACCTTGAATAGCCTGGTATGGTGGCATACACCTGTAATCTTAGACCCTGGGAGGCTGAGGCAGGAAAATCTTGAGTTTGAAGTCAGCCTGGGCTACACAGCAAGAGCCTGTCTCAAAAAAGAAAAAAGAAAAAGGAAAATCAACTTTTTGAAGCTTCAAATGAATTAATAGATCAGTCATCAATAATTACTAATACCATAAGAGACAACCACTCATTATATGCCCCCAATGGAAGGACACATGACCATCTATGAAAATGTCCTATGTCAGGCATGGTAGCACACCCTTATAGTTCTTGTATCCCAGTAGGCTAGGCAGAAGGACCACTTGAACACAGGAGTTCAAGATCAGCCTGGGCAACATAGCAAGAACCCATCTCAAAATATATAGACACACTGGAAACTGTCAGGTTAAAAAGAAAATCAAGGCTCACAGTTAAGAGCCTTTCCTGCTCTTGAGAGAATGAGGGGGAGCTGGAGAGATGGCTCAGAGGTTAAGAGCACCGACTGCTCTTCCTCAGGTCCTTAGTTCAATTCCCAGCAACCACATGGTGGCTCACAACTACCTGTAATGAGATCTGGTGCCCTCTTCAGGCCTGCAGGGATGCAGGCTGAATACTGTATACATAATAAATAAATAAATCTTTATTAAAAAAAAAAAGAGAGAGAGAGAGAATGAGGGTTCAGTTCCCAAAACTCATGTAGCCACTCCGGCCACCTGTAACTCCAGTTCCAGTTGGATCTGACACCCTTTTTTAACTTCTGTAGGTTCCAGCATGAATATGGTACAGCATACAAACACACACCAAAACAACTAAAGACTTTAGAAAAGGAAATCAATCTGGCTGTGGTGGTTCATGCCTGTAATCACAGCACTTGGGAGGTAGAGGCAGGAGGATCAGGAATTTAAGGGCATCCTCAGCAACTGAGGACAGCCCTGCTTATATGAGACACTATCTCAAATTTAAATTAAAAAAAAAAAATCAAGGCAGGTACAGTACTGTACATCTGTAATTCCAGCATGAGAGAGCCTGAGGCAGGAAGACCATGAGGTCAGCCAGGGCTACATATTAAGACTCTGCTTTAAATACTAAACCCAAAAGAAAACAGTAAGGAAGAGAAGGAAGGAAAGTGGGAAAGGGAAAGGGAAAGGAAAGGAAACCCCCAGGGTTAGGGGAACAGGAGGAGAAAGAAAGGAGAAAGGAAAACAATCCTGAATCTGGTTGTGCTAGCCCACTGGCAGAGAACAATGGACTTGACCAGCACTTGGAGGCACACCACTAACATTTACAGAGTACAGGCTGGCTGGGTCTCTCAAAGCACAGAATTCAAGAGAGAGACAAATAGAAAGTGAAAGACATGGACAGCAATCTTTATGACAACCAACTTCAAAATGACAATTTTTATGACATTTAGGGGCTATCAGATTACAAATCTGATATCAAAGAACTGATATTAAGGAAAAAGTATTGTATTTTACATACCATGCATACCAGAAATGTAGAGATAAATTCTATAATGTTTAGGGCTCCTTTAAAATAAGACAGAACATGCTGGGCATGATAATGCACACACTTAATACCAGCACATGGGAGGCAAGAGTAGGCAGATCTTTGTGGGTTGGAACCAGCCTGGTATACATAATGAATTTTTGGCCATTAAGGGCCACAGAGTGAGATTTTTTCCTCATGAAAAAACAAAACGAAGAACACTCCCCCTGACCCAACACACACACAGACACACAAAGTGGAGAATAAGGAAGGCAGAATGGGGTGAAATAGGAGCCACAATGAAATATAGCATATACACATAACTTAAATATTGAGCCAGAAAAGATTCTGGTATGTGCTTCAATAAACATCGCAGACATAATTAGTGAAATAATTCAGGCACAAAAAGACAAGTATTACATGATACTGGGGCTGGAGAGATGGTTCAATAGTTAAGAGCACTGGCTGCTCTTGCAGAAGACTCAGGTTCAATTCCCAGCATCCACATAGCAGTTCACAACCATCTGTAATGCCAGTTATAGGGGATATAATGCCAACTTCTGGCCTCCACAAGCACCAGGTATGTCTGCAGTGCACATATATACAAGCAGGCAAAAACATTCATACAAATAAATAAAAATAAATCTTAAAAAAAAGGCGCACGCCCATAATCCCAGCACTCGGGAGGCAGAGGCAGGTGGATCTCTGCGAGTTCGAGGCCAACCTGGGCTACAGAGTGAGTTCCAGGACAGGCTCCAAAGCTACACAGAGAAACGCTGCCTTGAAAAACAAAAAACAACAAAAATTACTTGATGGGGTGGTGGCACACGCCTTTAATCCTAGCACTTGGGAGACAGAGGCAGGTGGATCTCTGTGAGTTCAAGGCCAGCCTGGTCTACAAATCAAGTTCCAGGACAGCTCAGAGCTGTCACACAGAGAAACCCTGTCTCGAAAAAAAAAAAACCAACAACAAAAAAAAAACAAAAAAATTTCTCCACAGATAAGTACAACTCTCACACAAAGGTACTTTTTTTCCTCCTGCAGCACAAAGATTATTAAAAAAAAAAAAAGCCACAACTAGTCAAAAATACAGACAACAGACTGAGCTGCCCAGCCCCAATTGATACATCTAAAACACAACCCTTACATCTTAAGCTTCAGAGAAAGAACATTCAGAAGAGGGAGGTAGAAAGATTATAAGAGCCCCAAAGACCAGGACGTCAGCTACAAGATTACATTTTATACACTCCATAGGGAAGGCTCCACCCATGAAATTTCAACAATGTGGGTGCTTACACAAGATCTGAACAGTAATACCAGTGGACTTGCCAACAGGGATGGGAGACACTGCAGAGGGCCTGCCCTAGAGGAAGAGCTACAGGCAGTTAAGAACTGCTGGGGGGGGGAGAAGTCGTCTTCAGCTATAAGCATCCTGAAG